TAAATGACTGGCACAAACGTTGGTTTAATAGGCTATATTATAAGGTAGGCGCCTGAGTTTTTTTTTTATTTCTTATTTAGACAACAGAATGGTTTTTGTGGGGTTTTGCGATTTTATATGGTTCAACCGAATTTGAATATACCTTCAATCAAGTATCTTCCTATTGTCCAATAGTAGTAGTTGTTTCAGAAAAACAATTTTGAGAAGTGAGAGGGTGAAATACTGAATAGAGTTTAAGGAGAAAGCCAAGATAAGAAAACTCTGAGAAATTGGAAGATATAAGAGAAATGGATAGATGGCATCCCATATCGAGCCCTTAAAAATCTTCCGCCTAAAGTTATTGTCCAACTGGTACAAATAACTAACGCCATCCTAAAACTGCAGCACTTTCCTTTTCAATGGAAAAAGGCTGTAGTGGTTATGATACCCAAACCCGGAAAAAACTTTACACTCCCATCCTCTTACCGTCCAATCTCCCTTCTAACCTCCTTTGCCAAGCTCGTGGAGAAGTTAATTCTGTGCAGGGTCAACAGGATCGTCGAAAACTTCTTCATTCTCCCATAAGAGTAGTTCGGATTCCGCCCCGGTCACAACACCACACTTTTTGCAGCCAAAATCTGCGGCGACGTCTTCCAAGCGTTCAACAGGCGCATGAACACGACTCTTCTGCTACTGGATATGGAGCGCGCCTTCGACAGGGTCTGGCATGCAGGCCTTATCTACAAATTACTCGCACAATTCGATTTCCCATTGCATATCATCTCCCTGATACAGTCTTTCATCAGCGGCCGCACTTTCTGCGTCAAACAAGACGGTGCCCTCTCAAACTCCAAACTAATTCAGGCCGGAGTTCCGCCTGGGTCCGCACTCAGTCCGCTGATGTACTCTCTCTACACATCTGGCGCTGTACGCAAATGACACCGCTGTTTACGCTCAATTCTTTTACACAAAAGCAACAAAATTTCAGTTAGCTCCATCACCTTACAATCCTTCAACCTTATTATGATAAACTTGGAAACTTGGTGTTAATGGACAGAAAACGGAACTGATATGTTTCCACAAGAAAAATACCAATAGCAACATGCCCACTCCACTTACCGTAAATTACATCCCTGTCACTCTGTCCCCAAAGGCGCAATACCTAGGAATCCTTTTTGATCAGAGAATGAAATTCCATCACCACGTTTCCCATGCTTTGGCTCGCATCTTCAATGCGCAGCAAAAACTCTACCCCCTCATCGGCCCTAACTCCCCCCTATCGCCAGGTAATAAGTTAATAATATACAAACAGGTCATAAGACCTATGCTAACATATGGGGCCCCTGTCTGGAACATAATTTCTACAATTCAACGAAACCGCCTGCAACGTTTTCAGAACCGCATCTTGAAGGAAGTGCTGTCGGAATCCAGGTACCTACGCCAGAATAAGGGACATGCATGCTTAAGCATGCATTCCTTATATCTCTGACTACCTGGATGAAATCAGCGAAAAATTCTATAGCCGCCAAGTTCAAGGCTCCCCTCTAACACGCAGTATGACTGCACCGAGATATGATCCAGACAGCCCCATATTTCACGGTCCAACATACAAGAATTTACCAATCTATTTTGAACCCCCATAAACACCTCCCCATCCCAATCCTGTTAATCATACACCCAAACAAAAACCTTCTCCAATGCACAGCTAAAATCTTAACGCCAAGACAAGAAAGTTTGGCGCTGACGCCAATAGCCTTAGTCTGAAGCGGAGACTCTGGCAATCCCATAAAGGTCTAATTTCTACCCTTAGTTCTTCGGAAAATTCCAACTAGTCAGCGATTTAGTGTGTGACAAATTCCTCTCTCACTAATTATGAGGAAACCACTCTTGCCTAATTGAACATAAGACACCCCAATCTGACCAACAACCATATAGGCACAAATTGCCCAGTTTAGCTGAAAAATGCATGTCTTAATTCCGGTATATTCTTGCACCCAATCCTCCCCACCCTCATTCTCTGACATCCCTTACAAACCTCCCCACCTGCACCAAAACCATTACCTAAAGACTAATCAGGTCTCAGGATTGGTCAGGGTGCAGGGCTGTCGAACCCATTCAATCCGTACCCGCGCACATACCCGAAGCTCACAATTGCTAGTTAGGACGCATCCAGTGAACCCGATCGCCCAAGGGCACAACATTTTTGTTTTTTATAGTCTAAAATTAATGAAAAGTGGGGTTTTTTTATGCTTTTTCTCCACTGCGCGCTCTGCAACTCCAACTCTGAGCATTCCACCCTCATTCTCGAGACAGGCTAGTGTAATGACCTAGTGCGCGCCATCCGTGGTATTCATTAGCGACCTCAGGGTCAAATAATTGACGTTAAAGGGCAACCGGGGAGCGTCGTGGAGAGTTGTGATAAAAATAAGAACAGGTGTTTGCAGTCAACAACATCGACCTGGCTAAAGCGCCCACAATGCTCGCTAGGCGAGTGTGTGAGCACAGCGTGCGGCGCACGCTGCAATTTAGTTTAAGAAGTCCTGTCCTAGTATTAACTAAATGTTGTATATTTGTAGTTTGAGGAAAGCTTATCCCCCTGCCTGTAATGTACACCTGAGAAATTTATAAATAAAGATGTTTCAGTTTTTGAGTTAAGGTTAAAAATACCAAAGACGAAATACTAGGAGGATATTTTAGAAAAATTGGAAGGTCAATGCAAGACAATTTTGAGAAATAGGGGGATGGAAAAAAGAGTGAATATCTAACAGATGTTGAAAAATCAAGGTTAAAAGAATCTTTGAAGTGTAGAGATGGAAAGCGAAAGACAATGATGGCTATTTACAAAAGTAGAAAAATATAACAGAAATTTTGAGAACAAGAGAAAAACTTGAAGGACCTTTAACAAACTTAGAAAAATCAAAGATAAAATTTCTTCGAGGAATTGGAGTTCTAACAGATGTTGGGAGATCTGAGAGAAAAGTAGGTACCTACTGAGAAATTGCAGAAATGCTTCCTAATCATTGACAGACTTAGAAAAATGAAAAACAATGAATGATTCAAAGACGAAAAGAAAATGAAGACTTTCTAAAAGCTTTCAAATATCGCAAAATAGAAGCTATTTCAGAAAAATTGGAAGATCAAAAAGGAAGGCTCTTTTCTGGATGTAAAACCAAAGTTATTGATATAAATTTCAACTTAAAAACTAAATAAGAATATTTAGTTATTTTTAAAAATGTAAATTTTTCCTAGAAAAGAATCGACAAAGAATCCTCTTTATTATTTCTAACACGTCCAATTCAAATTCTTCAATTTGCGTCAAGACCTACAAAGACTTCGAGAATAGGAATATTTTCATCTGGAACGATCTTTTGATTTTATTTTAGTTTTGTTGCCAGGCTCATCGCCCAAACGACGAAGAACTTACATAACCTCAAACTCGGCGCCCCACGTTGGGCGCCATGTCGTCAGATAAAAGGGGGGTATCTGAAGTTGGGGCTCGGTTTGGTTGGACAGGAGGCTTTGTTTTGGTTTGAGAGTTTGAGGTTATGTAGGTTCTTCGTCGTTGAGGCGGTGAGCCTGGCAGTAGATCTTGGGGGCCATCGATGGAATATAGCCCAGCCTTATTGGTGTTTCTTTTTTGTGGTTAAAATAAAACAACCCCTTCAACATACGATTTTGCCTGCATCACCAAATTCAGCTCTACCAGTGCACGTTACCCCATGTTGATCCAGCCGAAGAGAGCGAGAGCGCAGCATTTCACAACCGTCATTGACGAAAAGGTCAACTGTCAAGCAGACTAGGCGATTTCATATGGGCCAACTAACTGGCCCGGTTATTAAATTTGGTTACTGAGCTTTTTCGTCAACAGGAGGCCTTTATATTGGATTGCAATATTAAACTTCTGTCCAAATAGATTTTTAGTGTCTTCTGTATTTTCTTCTTAAAATATCTTTATAATTATTGAACATGTCAGGAGCATTACATACTTTCATCACTCGTTCGTCAGAATGGGCTGTTTTGGTAGAATGTCATATTTTCATAATTGGGCAAGTTGAAAGTTTATTTGGATTCTATTTTATCCATGCACTTTTTGGGTATCTTGTGCAAGTTTACAAAATCTGCTAATATGATTTGGATTTGTTTTTCTCATGTCTCATAGTACACCGTTGAGGAGAGTCTCAAAAATGGTATTCAACAAGTCAGTAGGTACTCTGGTAAATGGATAATTATATACCAAGTTGGTAGGTATAAAAGAACAGTGAACTTAAGCACTAAGTTGACGTTGGAAATCTGGCAACAATCATGAAACTCAACTGCTTCACTGTAGGATTGCCATCAAAAGTTACCATCGTTTATCAATTATTGACATCAAGATTTTCTGTTATCGCCTGTTGTAACAATATCTGATGTCGTTACCAATTACTTCATCGAATGTCCCTGATTTTAAATGCCTCATTAACAATTGCCTCAAACTAAAGATACTATCTGCGTATTTTAACCTTTCCTTTTGTGTTGTGTGTTTGATTTGGTTCCTGTATAGATTTTAAATACAACTCATTAATTCCACAGCAATCTTCTTCCCGGATGTTCAATAAAACTTTTTGTAGTGATTACGATTTTCCCTCAACAAATTAATGATTCTCACCCACCACACGTTAAATCAAGATAAATCTCTCGCCTTCACCAAACACCATCCTCTTCGCTATCATCATCTGGCCAGATTTCAAAAAGACAAAACGTAAAGTAACTTGAGACAGCCAAAGGAAACACAATCGAGTATTAAGGAGTCATAAATTTTAACTGGCACGTGTCAAGAAGGAAGACGGTGACCTTAATGTAACATAAAAACAAATTACTTTTTAAGTTGTAGCAATTTAATGATATTCACGATCATAAATTCGACTCTTTGATGCTTGACAGAACTTGTTTTGAATTTTTAAAACTGAAAACTTTATTGAGATGTTAGCGATATGTTAATTATTATTATTATTATTATTAATTTTGTTCATTTTGTCTTTCAGTTTCGAATGCGCATGACATTTCGTCTAATGGCAGTAAGTTTTTTTGAATCTTTTAACCATCCACTAACGCTTTTTTTAGTTAACTTGCTTTCACTTTTTGGCTTTGGCTTGCACACTATTAGTTTTTTCTTAGCTTCTCTTCACATTCTTTCGCTTTAGTTTAGAGCTTACAAATGTATGTGTTTTTTACATTTTTAGACTAAAATGAATACGTTTATTGACTTGGTTTTGATTGTGGGTCAATACAAGTTTTGTTCTAATAGCTCAGACTATTGATTGATTTGATTTATTGATTTGAAAGGGGAGCATGTTAAGCATGTAAACGCGCATGTGGCCCATTATGCTATCCCTTTCTTGGTGCAACCCTGTCTCAGGAGCCCCCAACTTTTAAGAGATGTGCAGCCCCGCTCAGCTAGGGAACTCTGATTGATAGACAATATATTTTCGCTTAGAAAAGTGACGTCACTTTCGAAAAGTTGGTACTCTCTGATCGCCTTTTCCAAAGTAATCCTTCTTCCCCTCCGGCCCCTTTAGAATCGCTTTGAAACATTTATGCCAATACGTTATAATGGAATGGTGAAAAAAGAAAAGAGATGACCGAATCTGTTTCTCAAACCCCACACAAACCTAATTTTTTGTTTTGTTTTTGTTGTTACGTATCGTCTAGAAACTAAAAACTGTGCTATCGTTTTCCGTTTTCTGTTTTTCAATTATTGAATTATGGATAAAGAAAGAAAGAAAATGAGAGTTGGTCAAGACCACCCAAGGAGGCCGATTTTCGTCTCAGGGAGTAGAACTTCCCGAGAGAACAAATTTTTTTGTCTTTATCATTCTCGTTTACTTTTCGATTACATTGACAAGGACAAAACATTCGTTTTATCGGCCCGCGTCTTGTGTTAGAGGAATTGTTCATAATGGGCTCGAAGTTCATCAATTAAAAAACGTACCATTTGTTTATCGAGTCTAAAAAGATCAATGAATTTTTCTTCATCCAAGGAAAATTGAGCATGACTATTATTGTCCCGCATTATCCTTCTCTCTAAATGAAAGTTGCTGAAAGTTTCTGCACGTTCCTCTTTGCCTTGGACTGTCAAAATAAGATGCGGTATCATTTTAAAAATATTCAGCAATCGACAAAATTAGAGGCAGGCAGAATTGAACAATTAAAAAGTTAAATACACCTCAGACAAAACTGACGAAACAGTCAATCAAATTCAAAACAAAACAACTTAGGTAACCTCTAACCTCAAATTAGTTGTTAATTGCCAACTTTCATAATTTAAGTAAGCAGAAACAAAACTTCCCCAGCGATCCCTGAACATTTCCGAAAATATTTTGCTAACGTTTCAAGAATATAATGCTGTTTACCAGAGTGCCAACGGATATTTCTAACGACGAATGTTGGAATGGAAAGAAAGCGATTCTAACAAAAGTTTGCTATAAACACGTTCCACCAAACTAATCTGCTGAGCCTTATCACTGATGTGTTAAGCCAGTAGACTATGTGGGATTGTAAATTGTCCGATAGATCTTCTGCAGGTTTAAAGGCTAGCAGTGGTTCTTTGGACGACCCTGTTGACGTGATCTTTCCAGGAGAAGCCTGGATTCAATGTATGTATGACTGAACCGGATGGAGCAAGTCTCTATCCAAACATTGTGAGCCTTTCCAGGTCCACGTTTCTTCCTTTTGTTGATGATACTACTTCGCTCTTGTCCGGATTAACCAAAAGCCTGTGATTATTACACCATCTTTCGTCCATGTCAAGAGCTCTTTGCATGCTCCATTTAACGAGTTTAGACTATTCATCAAAATAAAATTGAGCAATATACCTATACGTCTCAAAATGTATTTTGTGTATAAATTTTCTTTGAATTGCATATTTTTACTCTTAATTATCATAAAAATGGAGTATGGGCAATTAGTTTTATGATTAATCTATTTCGTATTGCCGACATTCTATTTTCAAATTACTTACGATACGCCCCAAAGTAGTTTATATAACTGACGTTGATATCTCTAAAAATGCAAATTTCTATGTACTGTACTCGTATCTAGAAAAAAAAAAACTATAGGTATATACCTCTAGGCAATGTCATATCTATTACCGCTATACACGTGGTGGAAATTAATTTGCAAATTACACCGTGTAGTGTTTCCGTGTTACATAAATATCATTTAAATGTATGATAAATTATTCCTCTTGCTGATATAATTAATCATTTTTATATGAAAAATGTTCTCGTCGTTATTATTATTGAAATTTGAAATTACTTTTTTGCTGCATATAAAATTATTGTAATTTTCGACCATAATAAATAGAAAATGGGTTATGGCCAATTGCATACAAACTGTTTCTTTACATATATTTTCAATGTTTTTTTTTTCCAATTTGCTAATAATTGACCATTGGAAATTGGTGACTGGTGAAATTACTTACTAAATAACGGAATCAATGATACCAGTCAAATAACAATCTCAATTTATTGTCAGAAAACCCAAGTTCTGAGAACAAAAACTAGAAAACTTTTCAATTTACTTTCTCAAACGGATTATAAGATTTTTGAGTTGACTGAAACGTGGCTTGATAGTTCTTTCAATAATTCAGAAATATTTCCCATTTATTCAATATTTACATGGAGGACCGAAAGTTTGATATCAGGAATTTAACTCTGGGGGGGTGGTGTGGTTGCTAGGGTGCATAAGGATTTCGTCTCTGAACAGGTCAATCTTGAAAAGTATTTTTTTCCCGAATTTAAATATATTAATTGACATTGTGATGGTGAAAATAATAATAAAAATAGAATCATTATATCTGATAAGTCTTGATATACCACCAGACACGCCAAATTCGGAGCTGGATGAACTGATATGAAAATGGAAATATAGAACTTATATAACACTTATCTTCATAACACTGAAGAAAACATATCAAATGATAGCAATAAATTCTGGTCCCATGTGAATACAATGAGGAACTCTTCCAGAATACCAGATGAAATGATCTATAATGACAGTCAATTGAGTGATTTCTTCGACGAATCCGATATTCTCAAAATACTTAAATAAATAAAACCTAAGTTTATCAGTGGTCCAGATGGAGTCCCAGCATTTTTGTTGAAAAATTGTACTATTGTTTTTGCGTATCCCTTAACAATTATTGTTAATTTGTGTTTGAGGGCCGAAAAAATTCCATCAATTTGGAAGAAATCAAAAATTTACCCAGTTTTTGAAAAACGCGATAAGAAAGATATAGGCAACTATCATCCTATCTCCATCATTTGTAACTTTGCTAAAGTCTTCGAAATACTTTTGGAATAAACTGTATATCAACATGTTAGGAATGGAATAATAAGCATACATCAGCATGGATATATGGAAACGCGCTCAACAGTCACTAACTTGATCCCCACAGGCTTCAAACTGACGTCATTTATACCGATTTTTCGAAAGCGTTCGACAGAATCGACCATGGCTTATTGCTTGATAAACTTAGTGCCTTTGGTTTATCTAGAGGCCTCAAGTCCTATTTGGAGGGTATAGTACTCAGTATCTTCAGATCAACGGGTTCAAGTCTGCAGAGTTTGCTGTAACGTCTGGTGTCTCACAAGGCTCCAACTTGGGACCTTTGTTGTTCAATGTTTTTATAAATGATCTATCAAATGTTATCAATGTGAATTTTGTATTATATGCTGATGACCTCAAGCTTTATGGTAGTGTGAAGGACATAAATGACTGTAAAATCCTCTCAAAGAATCTGCACAATGTTGAAGACTGGTGTCGGAGGAATAACTTGCTTTTAAACCCCATCAAATGCAATGTTATGACGTTTGGCTTAAAACAAAAACCATTTATGTTTAAATATTCTCTTGTTGGCACCAGAAACTTTTGCAGACCTTGGAATGACAGTTGATAAAGAACTTACATTTAACTGCCACATTGAATGAACTGTTAACTCGGCTTACATATAAGACATATGGATTCATAATTCGATGTAGTCGCAAATTTGAGACTGTGTCTACTATTATAAACCTATTGTATATGGCTCTTGTGCGATCTAAACTGGAATACACTTCTCTATAGTCTCGTCTCCTTATCATCAGCGTCATATTGACCGTATTGAAGCTGTGCAGAGACGATTTCTGAAGTTATTAGGTTTCAAGCTAATTCTTATTACTCAAAATTCCCAGATTTTGAAACTAAAGATTGTGGCTCACTAACTAACCTCAATAAGGAAATATCGTCTTCATCTATGCATAACTCGTGATTGTTCGTACTTGTTTATGAAATTTCCATTGCTCGAATGCCACATACTGATCACAATCCGAAACATAAAGGCCTGGTCAACTGAAAACAGATTTCGGAATTGAAGATTGTGGCTGTTTTCCAGCTTTGAACTGATCAGTCATGCAGCCAGTCACAATTAAGTTAATTTCTTCAAAATAGCTATCTCGATAAAAAAAAAAAACATGTAGACAGGGACACACTCTTCGCATCACTGATGGGGTCTATCAGGGAGACTTTTCAAATTAGATAAATATAGAAGACCACAAGGAAGTGAAGGAGTAAGGAGTAAACATTGAAATAAATATTAGGACAATTATTTTTTTTAATCAAATTTCTAATTTGGTTTCATGTAGAAAAGTGGTCGCATGAATAAAGTGTAGCAAATGCTTTTGCTTTACCTCCGTCTCTTTTTGCTGCATTGAATCTGAATATGTTTATCTCAAAAATATTAAATATTAGCATTTGCTTCTGTTTTATTCATACATTATTATAAATATCAGGATTTTCAAGCGATAAGTGATTTAAATTAAAAGGAACAGTTACATTGAATTTTCTTGTTAGAGCGTCATATAATTGCTGGATTTGATCTGGATATTTGGCACATTGGAAAAAAATGTCATCAAGGTCTCCTCTTACTTGGCACAAAGATTCTGTCTTATTTAGAAGAATATTGTCAACGTCTGAGTCTAAATCATCTTGCTAGGAAGGTACCTACTTACTTGTATCTTGGCTGAGTGGGGACATGGAG